GAACAATTTAAGGGACAAGTTGAAGCCTAGGAAAGCACGACCACACTGGAAACCATGACAAAGTTGAAGATTGTTATTTGTTGCTTTTAGGGTTTATAGACAATATTTTGTGTTTAGACTGCATTGGTGATTTATGATGTAGCAGACTTTTGAGATAATGTTCTGCATGACAATATTAACTGATAATGATATGACAATATTTAATGTAGGAGACTAATATTATAACTTTTTACAACAATTGGCTACTTTTATTTCAACAAATGCTACACATTATTTATATGATCATTGTTTGATTTATATAGTTTTTACAAATACGAGAGAGAAGAGATTCCAAAATAATACGGTAAAGTTGGTAAATGATAGTATTAACTAACTGTTGTAAATAATATGCTAAAGTGTGGTAAATGACAATATTAAGTAAGTGTGCTAAAAAACATGATAAGTCAAAGCCGTGAGAATCACGGCCGTGATTTACAATCACACCCGTGATTCCCACGATGTTAGTTAGTAAAAAAAATCCTACGTAACAACCATGAAAATCACAGCCGTGATTCTGAATCACGCCCGTGATTTTGAATAACGCCCGTGATTTTGAATAACGCCCGTGATTTTGAATAACGCCCGTGTTTCTGAATCACGCCCGTGATTCCCACGGTGTCTGTCACTAAAAAAAAATGATATGAAACATTAACAATCACGCCTGTGATTCCCACGGTGTCTGTCACTCAAAAAAAATGATATGAAACATTAACAATCACGCCCATGATTCGTATAGCGTTTGTCACATTAAAAAACATGGTAACTTAGAACCGTGAGAATCACAGCCGTGCTTCTAAATCACGGTTGTGATTCCTACGACTTGAGTCAGCCTAAACCCTACTATACATCAATGCGAGAATCACGGTCGTGCTTCACAATCACGTCCGTGATTGACACGACGTCAATGACGTTAAAACCATTATAGGAATCACCGCGAGAATCACAGACGTGAATGTAAGTCACGCCCGTGATTCGTCCTTGCGACCAAAACCCTAGCTTCCTCCTATAAATACCCACGCTTGTGACTTTTAAACTTAATTCATTTATTCATAAAAGAGAATCACGTCTTGTTCTGTGAAACCCTAACCCACTCAAACCCAAACTCTTGCAATGGCCCCAAAGCGAACTCTTGCATCTCATGGGTCATCTTCTACCAATCCCACACCTGAGTTGGAAGACACGGAAGTACCCGTTATTCCGCCTCTACAATTATGAGACAGTGAGCAACGCGATAGGTACCAGACTCTTAGTACTCGTACAATAACTACAACAAGGTATCTTGATTTTCAATTTTTGCACGAATTAGGGTTACATGCTGACATCAATTTCATGTTGACAAACATTGGGTGGAGTAATTTTGCAACGATCTATGTTGAAAAGGTTTATCCAAGGCTTGTTCTTGAGTTTCTTAGTTCTCTCTGTCGCAACCCGAAAATTTCCGATCTCGCGACTAATGGTTTAGACATCCTTTTAAAGATCTCATCAATTAAGGAATGCCCGGACACCAGACTAATCCTTAATTAATGATTTTGAAAAATGGTTCATGGAGTCGCCACCAATGTTTTACTCAAAACATTGGAAAAAGAAAAAGGTTTTAAAAAGAATCCAATAATGGCCTTGATAACCAGAATTGGGTTCGGGGGTCGGTTACGTGCCTCAAGCTTCTACATCAAGCTTAAGGAAAACCGAACCTACTTCCAACACTTCTTCTCCATTGAAGAATACTTCAAGGAGCTTCAAAGAGTCATTGAAGTCAAGACCTCAAGAACATTCACGGTCCTAAGGATGGAGAACTTGAAGATCATCAATCTTCTCCAAGTGAACTCCATCAAGTGTGCTATTCTAAATGAGTCTACTTGCAAAATCAACACAAATGAGAGCTTTTTGGAACATGCAGGTAAGTCAAGTTTGACTGTCTACTTCAAAATCGTCTCGAATAATAGACTCAAGAATTTGCAAGATATTGTGATGTCTTAACTAAGATGTATGCAAAATTGTTGGGCATTTATCATGATTTTCATATTCTGCATGAAGTAAGATACCACTATTATTTGTGAGTCAAACTCAATGAATGAGTTATTGCTCATCAAACAAAGAGTGTCACTATTTCACTAGCATGCTCCTCTAATTTTCAAAATTAGAGTTTTTCTCACTTTCTCTTAGGATATCTCCTTTAAATATGCTTATAGGGAAGGAAACAAATGTACTAATTGATTAACAAAACTAGAAATTAATTCTTTCAATGAATTTTTTCTTTTTATGAGACAATTATCTATTTTTGTCATTGCGAATGCTATAGGAATCTTATATCTTATGGTAGTAGTTTTTTCTTTTTTCCTTTTGTTTTTGTCTTTCCCATTAATAAAAAAAAACCAATATTCTAAGGGAACTGTTAGCTAGACTCAGATTTATTCTAATCCTTAAATTTAGGCAATCTGGCGTGACATTGTAATAATGCTGGTTAAAGTTTTAGCAAGACAGTCACAAAGAAGAAAACCTGAACGGCATCATAACTCAGTCATAAGGCATAACCATATATTAATTCAAGCAATTAATATCTTTGAGTTCCAAAATTACCCACTTTAATTGACCATTTACAGACATTAAATTACATTATTCTCCTTCCAGCGCAAATAGTGACTACTACAGACATCTTAACACACTGTATAGGAACCAAGAAGAACAACATATAAAATTGACCAGTATATTCAAAACGGGCCAAGTTTAAGCCCAATATTGGGAGGCCATAGCAAGTGGGTTAGACGAAAATAGCTTGCATTTTAATGGGCTGCAAAATAAGTTCATGAGTTTTTCATCAATTTGCAAGTATTTTATCAATTTTTTTTTCCTGTTAGGGGCATGTCAAGAGGACTCTTGATTAAGGTAAAAAATAAAAACTATAATTTTATAAATAAAAAAAACTGTAAACTTGAGTTTATATAATTATATGAATAGTAAAAAATAAAAGTTAGTTAGTAATTCCTCAAAAGATCATGGTTATTTTTTAATCTTAAGTAATTATATACAATTTATTGATATATATTTATAAATTCCATTTCTCATGTACATATACCTTATTTTTAAATAATAAAACCATCGGTTCACAACTTCGCATAGACCAAGTCAATTGTATAAACTGATGGTGCATTTTAAAAATACAGGACACAACACGTCTAAGACGCCATTGCATAAAATTATATATTATAATTATAAAACTGAGTATTCTAAACATAAAACTCTAATTCTTAACATAAAGTAAAAATGCATAAATACTAAAATTACTAATGAATCCTTAAAAAAATTATTAAACAATATCATATATTTTGAAATATAAGTATATATAACAAGTATCATTATTCATTAGTCAACCATAATAGAATGATATTAGGATTTTTAATATATGATAAGCGTTCTATAATTTAAGATATGAAATGTTTATGCTAAATATTAGTTTCATTTGATAGTATTAGTAGATAACGTTAAATTGTAAAAAGTGAATAAAATTGTATCATTTTGCAGGTGTTTCAATTTCAAACACACAATTTTTATAATTGTGACCCCATTTTGTTCGTGGAATCGATGGTGAAGAATGAAGACACGACTTCGACCAAGATGATCTGTCAACTAACGGGAAGGTTCTGGCCTTTGCGCCAACGCTTTCCATCGGTCGTTGAAAAATGTTTGTGGTTTATATGTTTTCAGTCTCCTAATATTAGTGTCAAATATTTGTTTATAGAAATTTAATTCATCATTTTTAATTCGTTTTTTTTTTCTCAATCACATCCTCAAAACTTTTTTTTTTAAAAGAAATTTAAGTGTAAAATCACTTAGACGAACGAATTGTTGATATATATGATATGCAACATTGTCAGTTGTAAGGTTTGCTTGGATGTTTTAATTAATGAAGACATTTATAAATTAACTTATATGATAAATTAAGTAGTGGGTGGATTTTATATTATAAGTTTATTAATAATGTTTTGGTAAAATCGTAAAAGGCATAATATTTTTTTTAAAAAAAATTATAAGAACTAAAATATATTAATTTTCAATTCAAGAAATAAAAATTATTTATCTCATAATTAATAAAACTAAAAATATATTTAAATAATAAAAAATAGAATGCATTTGAAATATTTTGTCCTAAATTTGATGAATATATATTTCTATTATTTAATTTGTAATATTTCATATACAATCATAACTTCAAAGATGTAATAAATTTTTAACAAATAATAAAATAAAATTCACTGACACATTTTTTAAACATATTTTTATTGATTAGAATTGATTAAAAATGAAAACATTTAAGGTCTAAAACTTATCTAATGATATTTTTTTTCATAATGTTGTAAATTTTAATTGATAATAAAAATGTATTTAACGAAACATATTAGTAAATGTGCAACTATCATTTTTCTTTTAAAAGAGAATAGGGAAGTTGACCCCAAAGTTTCATTGATTTGATAATCTGTTGCATGGATTTTAGTTGTTCGTTTAAGGGAGTTCCTAAATTGAATTTCTGGAATATTTCTGCTAATGGCACGTGATCACATTTCACATTTCAACAAAGAATTGCTAGTTGCCAAAAATGAAGGATCAAAGTCATAGCTTAAGATATAGGCGTGTGAATTGACACCGCGTGGCATGCTCAATTATTATACTTGGCTTGCTCCAGAACCAACACACATGCAGCACATGTACACGACTTTTTATTTTTAATTTAAACAATTCACATAAAATAATGTTAACAACATTAAAAACGAACCATGTAATCTCCTTCTGGAAAAGGAATAGTAGTTTCACAATGATTTATTTATGCTCCTCTCACATTCCATTTTATATGTAATTTAATTTAATTTTTATGAGACTAATATGCTTAGCAGTTTTATAATTCATACTTAGTAATAGAAAGCAATAGTTATTTCTCTTCCTTGGTTGTGATAAATAGAATATTAAGCATATTCAGCATTAGAAGATTAATGTGTCTTTAAAACATATTATTCAATTTAAAATTCCATGATACTATTGATTTGTGAAACCTTTTTGCCACGTTTTTCTTGATTCTCTTCTCACCTAATTTTGCAAATAAAATCGAAACTTGGTTTTTTTAGCAGACAAGTAACGTTAACGCACACGCTTTCTCTGTCTATCTCCACTTCCACAAATTCCTATATCTTCCACGTGACGCGTATCTCTCTGCATCAACCTTAAGCTCCGGTCATGGCGTCTGTTCCGTCGGGTCGTGGTAACGGTGGTTCCAATGCCTTTGATTTTGGCTCCGACGACGTCCTTTGTTCGTACGAGGAGGGCAATAGCAATCACGATTCTTCTAGTGTCACGCACACCGATCCCACCAAGGTAACATACCCATGAAGCCTTTCCTAGTTGACTTCGCGTTTTTCATCCTTTAAAGGCAATTTCCGAATCTGGGTTTGAACAAATGGCTAGGGTTTTTGGAAAGTTTTCGTTTTTGGTAATATGTTTTGATCATGGGTGGAAGAACTTTTTTCGTTGCTATATTTGTTTATTTATTTATTTTTGTTGGGTTTTTAGAAGCATCTTTCATTCACTGCTGCAAAGGAATTTTTTTTTCTCTCTCTCGTATTTGTTAGTGATATGAAGGTCTTATTTTTGTTGGGTAGATTTTAAAGTGAACTGGCTTGGTTCTGCATGGTTGTATGAGCTGGTTAATTATTAGCACGAAGAACGGAAATATGTGAAAAATAAAATGAAGAATGTGTGTTTGTAATATAGTTTGAGTTTGGGAACGGTGGATTTTCCATGTTCATGAGTCTACTGGAATTTTCTTCAGTAAAGGTGTTTCAGGCATTGATGCAAGAATGATGAGGCTAACTGGTTGACAACGAGAGAAATGAAAGAGGAATTGTGTTCAAGTTGAGAAAGGGTAGCTTTGTGCTATGAAGCTCCTACCCAAGGGTTGGGCACACTGACAAATGAGGTTGAATGGCTGTATATTTGATATACACATGGGACCTTTTTTTTAAAATTTTTTTTTAAAAGAACTCATTGATTGATCAATAAGGTTCAATGTAGCCAACTTTACCTGGTGGATCAGGCTTTCGTTGTTATTGTATTTATTGGTATATGTATAGATAATGTAGTCTGCTTCTGGCTCATTTGAATGTTAATAGTAGGTCAATACAGCTTAATTATATCAAGCAAATTTATTGACCAGGATCAAATTAGAAAAAAGGAAAACATAGTAAATTTAGGAGGGAGACTTGTGTCTACATGCTTGTTTTAGAGTGTTTAAAGTAGATGAACTTCTCCAGCAAGGATTGACAAGCATTACTTGTTCCCCTTGAGAAAAACAAAGTGACATAGGCTCATTGTGTTTAAGTTGTTATTGTGGGTAATTTGATTTTCTTTTAATATATTTTGACCATTCTCAAGCTTAAACATTTCTTATATGGGTTTTCGTACGTGCAATCATAATTGCCTATCAAGTGACTCTGGACCTCAAATATGCAAATTCTACCTTTTTGCAGGATTTTTATGAATCCAGGATGGCAAGAAAATCAATAGTTCCTGCTGCTTCCTATAGATCGCTTGAAGATTCTTGGAGCCAGGAGGTGATTGCAACTGTTGAGAAGAGTATGAAAACACATGCTGACAACCTTATGCGGTCTCTTGAGGGAATTAGTTCAAGGCTGTCACAGTTGGAATTATATTGTTACAATCTTGACAAATCAATTGGAGCAATGCGATCTGATTTAGATAGCGATCATGAGGAGGCAGATTCAAAACTCAAATCTCTTGATAAACACCTTCAGGAAGTAAGTTTTAACTTTAAGCGATAGAATCTGCAATGTCCTTCAAGTTAGCTTTGATTTCTCCTTTTCTTGGTGTGCTTGAGCTTTTTCTTAGAGTAAGAAAATATCTCTATGGTGGATGTAGCTGGAACATCGAGTTATCATCTTGTATGGTAAAATTTAAAATGAAGTCCAAGGCTGCTTGTCAGTACTAGAAGCTATTGGAAAATGTCGTCTCTTATTCTCTTAACCAAAATATTCATCTTGCATGTTTTGGTAAATCTTTCCAATATTAATATACTTTGGACTTGAAGGTTGTCAATTATAAAACTAATATTCACATTGTTGTTGCTAAACTAAGAATCGTTTATTGCTAGAATAATCTGTTTTTCCTTGCTGCTATTCCTATCAACATGTTCACTTTTTGGTTGACCACATATACTTTGAGAGTAGACATCTTTTTGCTTGTGTTTAATTTTCTTGTGCTTTGCTGATGTAGGTACACAGGTCTGTGCAAATTTTGAGAGACAAGCAAGAGCTAGCTGAGACTCAGAAAGAATTAGCCAAGCTTCAACTTATTCGCAAAGAATCATCTTCCTCGAGCCATCTGTGGCCCAATGAGGAGAGATCTTCGCCTTCTTCCATGTATCAAAAAAAAATCGATAATGCATCTGACACACATAACCAGGAGTTAGCCCTTGCCTTACCTCATCAAGTTGCCCCCCGACAACAGCCTGTGGCAGCGGCATCCTCCTATCAAGCACCAGCCCCAAATGCGAGTCAAGCCACTCAACAACCTCATTATTACATTATGCCCACCTCTGTGTCCAATCCACAAGCTGTAGCCCAGCTTCCTCAGAATCAGTATTTGCCTTCTGATCCACAATATCGAATTCCACAATCAACATCATCATCTCAGGTAACGCAATCTGCACCCGTGCAACAATTTTCTCAGTATCAGCAGCTACACCACCAACACCAGCAATTGCCTACACAATTACCACAACAGGTGCAACCACTGTCAACGCAGTCTCAAATGAGACCCCCCTTGACAAATGCTTACACTCCATATCCTGCAAGCCAAGCTACAAATCCTCTTCCCACAGAAACACTTGCAAACAGCATGCCCATGCAAATACCCTATTCAGGGATTCCACCCCAAGGATCTAGCCGTGGCGATGCCATGCCATATGGATACAGCATGGGAGGTAGAACATTTCCACAGCAACCTCCGCCCCAGCAAATGAAGGGCTCTTTTTCAGCACAGCCAGGTGATGTGTATGGAACTGGCGTGACCCGCACCATGGCTCCTCCTGCTAGTTCCTACATGGTGTATGATGGTGAGAGTGCCAGAGCACATCATCCACCCCAACCTTCTTATTATGCTCAAGCTGGATATCCTCCAACTAGTGCTTCCCTTCAGAACCCTGCACCACATAATCTTATGATCCAGAGCTCTAGCCAGTCTCAATTTACTCGTAGCCATCCCTACAATGAATTGGTCGAGAAATTTGTGAGCATGGGATATAGAGGCGACCATGTAGTGAGCATTATCCAGAGGATGGAGGAAACCAAGCAGCCTATAGATTTTAACACTCTACATGACCGTTTGAACGTGCATAATTCAGTGGGTCACCAGAGGGGATGGTCAGGGTAAACAACTTGTACTGCATATACCATTTTGAACAATGGTGTGCACCAAATTCGGTTTGAACAATGTTATCCATCATGTCCAGAACCGGGATGCTACGTTCAAACCCTCAAATCATTGCGTGTTTTAGTATGCATGTAACAATGTAATAATAAACTTTTATGTAATGTGCGCGGTATTATCGTGTATAGCTACTATAGTATATTATACAAGATTTAGTGTTGATTTAGTGAATTAAATTATATGACGCCATTTATTCAATAGAAGTAAAATCGTTTGAAATAAAATTGTTCCGTGTAACAAGTGCTTGTCATTGTATTGGTTACTACAATTTGTCTCACAGGAAATCAATTCATATTTTAATTTTAACATAATGGTAAATAAGGAATTTTTATACTGTTAATTAATTATAAAGTACTTTAAATATGATTTTCAAACAATTCTTATTAAACTTATTAATATAATTAAATGTATTGTAAAAGAAAGTGGTTATATTTAATGTACAAGTATACTTGTATTCTATTTATAAAATAAATTCCCATTAATTGATGATGATTCCCTATGAATACGACACTAACATAGTTGCATGTTTGAACGTCCTAACTAACTAACTAACTGACTATCCTACCTTTCGTAACCGTTACACACTCCAACCAACCACAAGACAGAATGAGTTGTAGTAAGTAATCTCCATTTCCCATGAAATGCCTATCTCACGTGGCAACGATGCCGTGGAGCACTACAACATCATCCCGGAGGACCCCACCTCCGACCACCCTTCCCTGCGGTTCCCGGAAGTCCGCGCCGCCACCGCCGCCCTCCGGTCCGTGGGGGACCTCCCCCTCCCCCCGCAATGGCAGGCAGACATGGACCTCGTGGACTGGCTGGGCCTCACCTTCGGGTTCCAAAACGACAACGTCCGGAACCAGCGCGAGCACCTCCTCCTCCACCTCGCCAACGCCCAGATGCGCCTCTCCCCTCCCCCGGACTCCCTCGACCCCGCCGTCCTCCGCTCCTTCCGCATCAAACTCCTCCGCAACTACTCCGCCTGGTGCTCCTACCTCTCCTCCAGACCCAGCGTCCGCCTCTCCCACCGCCCCGACGCCGCCCCCGACCACCGCCGCCGCGAACTCCTCTACGTCTCCCTCTACCTCCTCATCTGGGGCGAGGCCGCCAACCTCCGCTTCCTCCCCGAGTGCATCTCCTACATCTTCCACCACATGGCCATAGACCTCAACGCAATCCTACAAGACCTCCGCGATTTCTCATTTCCCGAGGACAAGGCCTTCCTCCACCGCGTTGTGAAACCAGTTTACCGAACCCTTCTCTTGGAGGTCGAGAGTAGCAGGAACGGGACCGCGCCGCACTGTCACTGGAGAAACTACGATGACATAAACGAGTTTTTCTGGAGTAAGCGCTGCTTCAAGCATCTCGGCTGGCCTATTAACGCTGCCAGCGACTTCTTCACCAAGCGCCTCGGAAAGACCGCCTTTGTGGAGCGACGCTCGTTTTGGAACCTCTTCAGGAATTTCGACAGGCTTTGGGTCATGCTGGCTTTGTTCCTTCAAGCTTCTTTGATTGTTGCGTGGGAGGAAAAGCTTTATCCTTGGCACGCTTTGGAGGATCGTGACGTCCAGGTTCGGCTTTTGTCCGTTTTCTTCACATGGAGTGCTATGAGGTTTCTGCAGTCTTTGCTTGATGCAGGGATGCAATGCAGGTCCGCTATCAATCACCCCATATACTTTTATTTGTTTCATTACACTTAGAGCATGTTGGGATACAAGTTTACTAGAGTTTTTGAAAGCTTTCTTATTGGGAAAAGATTTTATTTTTAATAGAGAGTCTCTTAAAAGTTCTTTTAAACTTGCATCCAAACACATTCTTAATGACCGAAAAGTCATTAGTCCGAATGAAACTAGACTTGATCTCTTTAAGCAAATTATTTGAGTCTTGTAAATACAAAAAATATGATTGTGAAATGACTCACTAAATATGACCAATCAGGTTTCCTTGGTCATTGCAAAGATAGTATATACTTTGCAGTTTGCACCACTAACATGGTTTTCAAAACTTAGACTTAATGTATATGTGGATCATTGCAGGTTGGTTTCCGCGGAGAGAATTAGGCTTGGAGTGAGGATGGTGCTGAAAATCATCGTTGCAGCGGGGTGGTTCTCTGTGTTTTTTGTTTTTTATCGGAGGATATGGGAGCGGAGGAAACATGATAGAAAGTGGTCTATTGAAGCGAATAAACGGTTGCTGACTTTTCTTGAGGTTGCTTTTGTTTTCGTGGTTCCGGAGCTTCTGGATTTTGTCCTTTTTGTACTTCCTTGGGTTAGGAATTGCATTGAGAATGGGGATTGGAGGCTTTTTCGGATGTTGTCGTGGTGGTTTCGGAGCAGGACTTTCGTTGGTCGTGGGTTGAGAGAGGGTCTTTTGGACAACATTAAGTACACCTTGTTTTGGGTTGTGGTGCTGGCGTCGAAGTTTTGTTTCAGCTACTTTTTACAGATTAGGCCAATGGTTGCTCCATCTAAGGCAGTTTTGAACCTTAAGGACGTTGATTATCATTGGCATGAGTTTTTTCGACATGGTAACGGGATTGCTCTTGCGTTACTGTGGCTTCCAGTTGTTTTGATTTATCTGATGGATATTCAGATATGGTATTCCATATATTCATCTTTGGTTGGGGCGAGTGTGGGGTTGTTTGCACACTTGGGTGAGATTAGGAGTATGCAGCAGCTGAAGTTGAGGTTTCAGTGGTTCGCTAGTGCGGTTCTGTTTAATCTAATGCCAGAGGATCAGTTGTTGAATACAAGGGGAACATTGAGTAGGAAAATAATGGATGTTTTTAATAGGATGAAGCTAAGGTACGGGTTTGGACAGCCCTATAAGAAGCTTGAGTCTAATCAGAGTGATGCCAACAAGTTTGCGTTATTATGGAATGAGATAATTTTGTGTTTTAGAGAAGAGGATATAATAACTGATCGAGAGGTTGAGCTGTTGGAGCTTCCAAAGAACTCGTGGAATGTAAGGGTTATTCGTTGGCCTTGTTTTCTTCTGTGCAATGAGTTTTTGTTGGCTCTAAGTCAGGCCAAAGAACTAGTCGATATTCCTGATAAGAGGCTTTGGAGTAAGATCTGCAAGCATGAGTTTAGGCGATGTGCTGTCATTGAAACATACGATTGCATCAAGCACTTGCTTCTTGAGATTATCAAACCTGACAGTGAAGAGCATTCTATTGTGACGGTTCTGTTTCAAGAAATTGATCACTCTCTCGAGATTGGAAAATTCACTAAAGTATTCAAAACCGCTACACTTCCCCAGCTCCACAACAAGTTGGTAAAACTGGTGGAGTTATTAAACAGGAAAAACACAGATCCTAATCAATTGGTGAACACCCTTCAGGCCCTTTATGAGATTGTTGTCCGGGATTTTTTCAAGGAGAAAAGGAAAATTGAACAGCTGAGGGAGGACGGTTTGGCTCCAAAAAATTCAGCTTCTTCTGAGGTTCTACTTTTCGAGAATAGCATTCAGTTGCCTGAGGCTAACAGTGAGAACTTTTATAAACAAATTTGGCGCTTGCATACTATTCTTACCTCTAGAGATTCAATGCAAAACATCCCAGTTAATCTAGAAGCCAGACGAAGGATTGCTTTCTTCACTAACTCACTTTTTATGAACATGCCCCATGCCCCCCAAGTAGAGAAAATGATGGCTTTAAGTGTTCTAACCCCTTACTATAGTGAAGAAGTAGTATACAGCAAAGAACAGCTCAAAGTCGGGAATGAAGATGGGATATCGACCCTGTACTATTTGCAGACTATATATGATGATGAGTGGAAGAATTTCATGGAGAGGATGAGGAGGGAGGGGATGAAGAAAGATAGTGATATATGGACTGATAAACTTAGAGTTTTGAGGTCCTGGGCATCCTATAGAGGCCAGACACTATCGCGGACTGTTAGAGGAATGATGTACTACCATAAGGCCCTCAAACTTTTGGCTTTTCTGGATTCTGCATCAGAAGTAGAGATCCGAGAAGGTGAAAGTGAACTTGTTTCACTAAAGCAAGACAATAACTCAGAAAGGTCACCTTCCCCCATGTGTTTAAGTAAAACAAGCAGTTCAGCAAGTTTGTCATTCACAGGTCATGACCATGTGACTGCTTCAATGAAATTCACATATGTGATTGCGTGCCAAATATATGGAGCTCAGAAGGCAAGAAAGGATCCCCATGCAGATGAAATTTTGTATCTAATGAAATACAACGAAGCCCTTCGAGTTGCCTATGTCGACGAGGTTTCCATTGGAAGGGATGAGAAGGAGTATTATTCTGTTCTTGTGAAGTATGACCAACAGTTGGAGAGGGAGGTGGAAATTTACCGTGTGAAGCTTCCAGGTCCCATAAAACTAGGAGAAGGAAAACCAGAGAATCAAAACCATGCCATCATCTTCACTCGCGGGGATGCAGTTCAGACCATTGATATGAACCAGGACAACTACTTCGAGGAGGCACTTAAAATGCGGAATCTCTTGGAGGAATACAAACATTACTATGGTATAAGGAAACCCACTATTTTGGGAGTGAGGGAACACATTTTTACCGGTTCTGTTTCCTCTCTTGCGCGGTTCATGTCAGCTCAGGAATCGAGTTTTGTCACCTTGGGACAGAGGGTTTTGGCAAACCCTCTGAAAATTCGAATGCATTATGGCCACCCTGATGTGTTTGACAGGTTTTGGTTCATAACTAGAGGTGGCATCAGCAAAGCCTCCAGAGTGATCAACATCAGCGAGGACATCTTTGCTGGCTTTAACTGTACACTTCGAGGAGGTAATATCACTCATCATGAATACATTCAGGTTGGAAAGGGAAGGGATGTTGGGTTGAACCAAATATCAATGTTTGAAGCAAAGGTTGCCAGTGGAAACGGGGAACAAGTACTAAGCAGAGATGTGTATAGATTGGGTCACAGACTAGATTTTTTACGTATGCTATCATTCTTCTACACTACAGTGGGATTCTTTTTCAACACAATGATGGTGATTCTCACCGTATATGCATTTTTATGGGGTAGATTATTGCTTGCTCTTAGTGGTTTTGAAGCTGCTATGGAAAATAACAGCAATAATAATGAAGCACTTGGTATGATCTTGAATCAGCAGTTCATTGTCCAAATTGGACTTTTCACTGCCCTTCCAATGATTGTGGAGGATTCCCTTGAGCATGGGTTCCTTCAAGCCGTTTGGGATTGTTTGACAATGCAGCTCCAACTTTCATCAGTTTTCTACACATTCTCTATGGGTACACGTAGCCACTTCTTTGGAAGAACTATTCTGCATGGTGGGGCAAAATATCGAGCCACGGGTCGTGGTTTTGTTGTGGAGCACAAGAGTTTTGCTGAAAACTATAGACTCTATGCTCGCAGCCATTTTGTGAAAGCAATTGAACTGGGGCTAATACTAGTAGTTTATGCATCACACAGTACTATAGCAACTCACACGTTTGTTTACATAGCCATGACCATCTCTAGTTGGTTTTTAGTTGCATCATGGATTATGGCACCGTTTGTGTTCAACCCTTCTGGTTTTGACTGGTTGAAAACTGTGTATGATTTTGACGATTTCATGAACTGGATTTGGTACCGTCAAAGGGTGTTTGCCAAAGCTGAACAGAGCTGGGAAAAGTGGTGGTACGAAGAGCAGGATCATCTAATGGTTACTGGCTTTTGGGGAAAGCTTGTGGAGATAATTTTAGACCTTAGGTTTTTCATATTCCAGTATGGTATTGTCTATCAGCTAGGCATAGCTGCTGGAAGTACCAGTATTTCTGTTTACTTGCTATCTTGGATTTATATGTGTGTTGTATTTGCTATTTATGTGGTGGTAGCTTATGCTCAGAGTGCATATGAAGCAAAACACCATATCTATTATCGGTTGGTCCAATCCATGATCCTAGTTCTTGTCATATTTGTGATAGTTGCATTGATGAAATTCACCAATTTCAAATTCATGGACATTTTTACTAGCTTGTTGGCGTTCATTCCCACAGGCTGGGGCATGATACTGATTGCTCAAGTGTTCAGGCCATTTTTGCAGTGCACCATAATTTGGAATTGTGTTGTTTCCTTAGCTCGTTTATATGATGTATTATTTGGGGTCATTGTTATGGCCCCGGTGGCTCTACTATCATGGTTGCCTGGGTTTCAGCCTATGCAAACTAGGATTCTCTTCAACGAAGCATTCAGTAGGGGGCTTCGGATATTCCAGATTGTTACAGGAAAAAAGTCCTCGAGTAATTATGATTAGAAGTTTTTTTTGTTCATGTGTAGTATGGGAGTAATTATTTTTGTATGCCAATCTTTCACTGATAGACAGGTTTAACGAGACAGACAAAATCTATTTTTTTTTCTGCTGTTGAATGATAATTTGTTTAATATGAATTTGTCTGTCTTGTTTTTTCTGAGTATTCATTCAGCTGAGTTTTGGTAACTTTTTTTTTTTTTGCACAATATTATTATTTTTATTATATCTTAAAACTGACAATTAATTAAAGATTAATCTATATTTATATGATATAATTTTTATTAATTATATATTATTTTAACATATAGGGAGATCAAATATGTCTATTATGGTATTTGAGGATAAATTCAATATTTGGCAAGTTTTCATGGGCTTTCTGGATCCTGCAGTTCCTTCCTTCATATTTTTTTATTTTGTTTTTGTTTTTGTAATGGTATGCTAGAAAAATCTAAAAACTATATAAAAGAAGATTCCTAAAAATTCTATCGACAACTAATCACTTCAAAAAAATCTTGATTACTATCTTAATGAAATCTCTTTTATCAACTACATTTTTTTTTCATTTAAAATACTCAAAATGAAGAACTATTTTAAAGAACAAATCTAAATTCACTGATTTGTTGATATTTTGTTATTGTGTTATTTAATCATCTCATTTATTGACTTTCATTGTTTTATTAGTCCTAAATAAATTACATAATTATTTATTGTTTAATATAATAAATATTATATTGTAGAATGTATCAAAACTATAAGGGGGGTGTATTGGATTAAGATTTTAAAGGACTTTTTTAGTTAAAAAAAATCTTGAGGATTTTAAAAGACTTTGCAGGATTTTCATGACTTTTAAGATTTTGCAGGATTCTACAAGACTTAAAATCAGGATTTTAATGAATTTTGCAAGACTTTTAAATCAGGATTTTAAAGGATTCTGTGGGATTTTGTGAAGATTATGATATCAATTTCATCTTTCACCTTTTTCTTTTCTTGACGTGTGTTATAAAAAAAATTACCACTTAAAAGTTGAAATTTCAAGCATTTTTTTTGTGTTATATAAAGGAACAAATTCAACTACATAGAATAAAATAGAGCAAATATGTCTATCATGAGATGAGAACAGTACTATAATTAAAGAGAACGAATAGAAAAATAGAGCAAGTCAATGACAGTATTATTTACATATCAAAGTTTCACAAAATAGGGGAATGAGATGAGAACAGTACTACAATATTATATATGAGCAATGAACAATAGTGTAGTATTATTAATAGAGAAAAAATGGAGAAGACAGGAGCATCGTAAAAAAAAGATGAAAAACTCACTTGAAAATTCTTGAAACACTTGAAAAATCACTTCAAACAATCCTTCAAAATCCGATGGGTTTGGATGAGATTGTTTTATGAATCTGGTATTTATAGATAATACTAGAATGTCCTTCAAAATCCCTCTTACACAACAATCCTTTAAAATCCTTATATTTTTGAATACCAATGAATTATTTTTAAGTTGTAAAAAATCTCAAATGAATACCAGTGGATTTTAATGGACTCTTTAAAAAATCTTGAAAATCCAGATTGAATACCACTGGATTGTTTTTAAGTGACATAAAATCCTGATTGAATACCAATGAACTTTTTTACTCAAAAAAAGTCTTTTAAAATCCTACAAAATCCTAAACCAATACACCTCCCTAAATAAATATATTGATTTCCTAAAGTTAATTTCTTATTACGCGTATAAAGTTTATAGACTATTTTTACAATTTCACTAATTCAATATGGCTAAATCAGTATAATTTACTGATAACTTATTTGTTGTTGAATTTATTATCAATTGAAAAAGAAATAGTATTGTTTAACAATTTAGTAAATGATTTTGTCTTCAAAAATCTAAAAATTAAACTTGGAATTCTTAAATGAGAAAAAGAAAGAAAGAAAATCTCCCTTTCTAAAATGAATATTCCAATTTATTATATAAGAGTATATTTTAAATGTTTTTATATGCCAATCTTTTATTGATACAATTTAGCTAGGCAATCAACAAGTTTTTTTTTTTCGCTGGACATTGAATGAAAGGCACAGGCCTTGAGCTCTAGTAATAGTATACATTCACTCAAACATTATTAGGACAATGAAGCATCTGCTGGTTACTATTTTTTACACTGAATTTTCTTTTTCATTCGTTTTGTCTTTTTTTTTTTTTAATTTTTTTTTTTTAAATGGAAATGGCAATTTTCGTAGCTGTCTCTGTCCATGCACGCTGGCTTTGATTTTTATATTTGTTATTTTAACTGAACATTTTATTCTTTAACCCTTAGTGCTTGGTGATTTGAATATTTAAGCATACTGCATATATTGGAAGTAAAATTACAGTTTTTATGCATGTGTATACGGGTCTGGATCTCATTAATTGCTATGAAATTAGCTAGTTTTTATTTTTTATTTTTCCTTCTCATTCTGTTTCGTACCTTCTAGAGATATCACAACTGTTCATAGAGAGTAACAATATTTGGAAGCAGAAATTAAAGTTCACATGAAGAATAATGGAGGGATTTTCCTTTCAAGACTTGTCCATGCGGTAACATTTTACGTTTTTGTTAATTATTATATTTTTATTAATAATTATGTGTTGTGGTCAGTGTTTTAAAACCCGGACCGACCCGTCCGGTCGGACCGGTTGGACCGGGAACCGGTGGTCCAGCCGGTCCGAATCTGAAGTTGGATCGGTTATGCAGTCGACCCGTTTCAAACCGGATTGAACCGGTCAATTTTCCGGTTCAACCGGTGAACCGGTGGGTCAAACCGGTTCAACCACTTTTTTTTTTTTTTTTTTTTTAAATTTTTTTAAGGGACCATAAATCACAAAAATAATAATGAAAATTGAATCTCTTAATGAAAAAGCAAGGAGTCTTATTAAATATAACAATGACTACTTGTTCTAATATATTTGTTTGCAATATATACAACTTAAATAACTTTTATAGTATATTATTAATTTTAAATTATATATTTAATAATGCAATATCTATGTAAATATTACATATATTATTTTGTGATATTAATTGCAAGCATATTATATATGTACATATTATTTATATTTTTAATTTGTATTAATATACCGTTTAACATGTAATTTTTTTATGTATTTTTTTACAAAATAAAAATAAAAATAATTTTAAATAAGATAGAAAAATTGAAATTTAAAATAAGATATGAATTTATTAAAATTTATAAGTATAAAATATATTTAATATGAATATTTTTTTAATAAAAATAAATAAAAATCGAGTCATGCGGTTCAACTAGTGACCCACCGGTTCAACCTTTGACCCACTGACCCAGTACCTTAACCGGTTCGATGACCGGTCCGGTTTTTAAAACTATGGTTGTGGTGTTCTGAAATATATGGATAAAAGACTTTGAAAATTAAGAAATTATTTATGAGTCTCTATGTGTATCGGAGAGTTTCTTTGGATAGAGATCCGAAAAAATGAGTTATAAGATTTTTTTTAAGATTTGAGTTTTATAAACTCATTTAGATTTCAAGGTAAAGAAAGTTAGAATTTGTATCTTTGATAGATTAATGAGTTGTATGTGTCTTGAATTCATTGAATGCATGATTGTATGGATGATTCTGAGGTAGGAATTTTTGTTTATTGAACTTTGGTGTTTTGAATTCATGAAGGTGAATTTTGGTGATTGATCCTAGTTGTTGTTGCATGTTACTATTTTGCTGTAGAATGGGGTTTGGGTGATGCATATGTATGATATATTGCATTGCATGCTTGGGATTTCCTAATTTTCAGGTGGATTGAGCCAAATGCTAAGTGCAAAACTCATTATCGCGACGAGCATGACTCAAATTAGGAGGTCTTTATCCTACTCATGTTGGATGCATGATTTATGGTGTTGAGTGTGAAAAGAGGGAAAAGTCTATGACTTGATCACATCAGACATGGTTTGAATGGTGTCGGACATGAGATAAAAAAATTGACTCTATTTGAATTGGTATTGGATGTTAAAGGAGTGACATTGGATATAAGGAGAGAGACTTGTCTCTACTTGAAATAGGGTCGAACATGAGGGCTTAGGGGTTCCTTAATTCTTCCACGTCAAGTGCAAATTTAGTGATGTTATACGTGGGCAAGACAAATAACTTTCTACCTTAATGGCACCAAGTGCAAGGTGTGTGGCATCGGGTACAATTTTCTTTGAAATTTCATGTTGTTTGATCGATGATATGATAAACATGAATAGATAATTAGGTGAATTTATTGCATGTTATATGATGATAGGTGATTATTGGTTATAATATATATATTAATGTGGGATAATATATGTATAGATGAGTATACTGTTGAATTTATGAGGTGTGCTTCTAAGAATGTTTTAGACATTTAGGCATGATATGTTGAATGATTGTTGAATCGTTGAGGTGTGATACTAAAAATGCTTTAGGCATTTAGACATGATATGTTGAATGATTGTTGAATTGTTGAGGTGTGATGCTGAAAATGTTTTAGACATTTAGGCATGATATGTTGAGTGATTGTTGACCTGTTGAGGTGTTTATGATAAGAATGTTATAAACATTTATGCATGTTAATTGACTTGGGATTAAAGAAGATGGTGTTTTCGAAAGTTGGATATTTCATAGTGTGGATATTGGTGTGGTGCTCTATGAGCACAATTGTTGAAAACCCTCATTGAATAAGCATTATCCCATAGAATGGATTGTTGAGTCTTCTTGAAGTCCTTAATTAATATTGGAGTAAGGTATAGAGTTAAGGACTAAAACCCTTAATTGGTTATTGTAGAGGCGTGTAGTATAACAAGGATAATTAGTGAGCTAATTTCATTGGTGACTTGGTTTATGTATGTCAAAGTCGTGGTATGTCCATACCTAAGCTATGCTATACCTGACAATGTATTGAACTTTCTTAATTTAAGTGGTGACATCTGAAATATTATGTTATAGAAATTGATAGCTCAATTGATTGTTATTTAAAAGGTGTAAAAAGATAGGTTGATTTGATAGGTTAAACCACTTGGACTACTCACCTTGATTTGATAGAATGTGTGACGACGTATTAGTTAAGGTGTATGCATAAGATGTGTTGTTCTTGGTGATTGTTCATATGCTATGTCGATTTGCATGTTGAATGACATTAAGGTGATGAAATATGTTATCATATGTTGTTGAATTGCTTAATTTTGTAAGGTATTGAATGTCATGTTGAAGTGATTTGTTGTGGTGCTAGGTTGTAGGCTATGGTGCAATTTTGTTGTATTGTTTACATGTTGATATTATTGATAATATAGATGCTTTTACTTTTATATTTGCAATGTGTTCACTTTTATGAAATCTAACTTATCCTTATATTTTTTTTTATGGTTAGACTACAATAATCATGTTTACATGAGAACAAGATAGAGTTAAGTTGGAGACTTGTGAAGTGTTGGTAACCATGTTGTTGACCGTTAGGGATGACAAATAAACATGTACTTGTGGGTAATACTCGAACCTGTCTCAACTTTGACAAGAAATACCTAGTTTGACCAGGTACGAGTATGGGTGAAACTCGATATATTAAATCGGGTATGGGCACAAGTATATACTTACCCGCCTCGTCCCCATCTCCATTCTCGTCCTCATCCTCGATTTAATACTTGTCTCGATTTGATTATTTTAAAGAATTTTAATATTTAATTATGTATGATTATTTATTATGATGTGAAATATTTATAATTATTTAATTATTAAGAAGTCTCTTGATTACAATATGAGATAGACAAACAATCTAATTATAATAGTAATATAATGAAAAAATAAGCTAAAAATATTGTATATTTTTTGTAAAAAAAATTAATTAATTTTTGACGAGTACGGATACGAGTACGAGTATATATGATACTCGACAAAGACGGGAATGAGATGAAAATTTCATACTCGACGGATACAGGTATAAGGATAAGTTTGAGCCACGTAGACAGGAACAAGGATGAGTATCATAAAACCTATACCCGACCTGTCCCGTTGCGATCCTTATTGATTGTATAACTTATTGCTACTTTTATATAGATATTATAGAATTGCTTAACCAATTTAAAATTACATATTATAGTTATTTTTGGAGTACTATATATATTTGTATAATTTTTTTATAATTTATTTTTAATTAGTGATGCAAGCTCAATGAGATAGAGGTGATATTCCTCATGAGATAGGAGGTGGGGAACCCAATGTGCATGATAAGCCTAAAACCTTGGGATTTACGTTGTCTGCGGGAGTTGAGATGGGCCCATGCTGCATGCAAATTATGTGACACTTAGGGAAAAGCAACATACGAACCCAACACCTGTGCTTGGGATGCCACGTTCTCCTACAGGTTCTCACAAACCTTACCCTCCAGTTTGGGATGCGAGAGGGTCAACTGGTTTACACTCTTTACCACGAGACTGGGGGGATGGATCACTGCAGCTTTCAGAGGACGATGATGAGATGGTAGAGGAGACCCTTGATAGGTCGAGGTCGGGGATAGTTACTTGATGGTGAACTGGCTCCCTTGCTCTTTGCTTCTATCTTTTATCAATTTAATAATGATAGCTATGGATTGTAAAATTTTGGCTTGGAATGTTCGTGGTGCCTCAAGCAAGAGAAATCACTCTCACATCAGGGATAATTTACGGAAGTATAGTCCTGATCTTGTTTTCCTCTTTGAAGTGCACGTCCAATTTGCACGGGTTCGTCGTTTTTGGGATAGCTTGGGCTATCAGGTGGTTGAAATTCAGGAGGCTAGAGGGCATGCAGGGGGTATATGGGTTCTTCAATTGTCATCTTCAGTTTTCACTTTTAAGAATGTTAACTCTACGAACCAAGTTGTTTCTATTGAAGTGTTTAAAGGGTCTCACATTTGGATATGTTCAGGGGTGTATGCGAGTCCGACTCCTACGGAGAGGGTGCGTCTTTGGGATTACCTTTGCTCACTCCGCGCTTCTTTTCACCTTCCTTGGGTTCTAGTTGGTGACTTTAATGAAACTCTTCTTCCCTCTGATCAACGTGGAGGCCTGTTTTCTCATAGTCGAGCTGCGTTGTTTGGCCGCATGATTGATGAGTGTGATCTCTTAACACTTGATCAAGTGGGAGGTCGGTTTACGTGACATAGAATGGCTACTGGGCAGGGGCCAATTCACAAGCAGTTGGATCGAGTTTTGGGGGACATTCAATGGCGTATGAAGTTTTCGGAGGCGATAGTGGAGGTACTTTCGCGACGACATTCTGATCATAATCCCCTCCTATTGAGGTGTGGTGGCTACCCTTTTCGAAGGGGTGATCGTCCCTTTCAATTTGAAGCTGCGTGGTGTACTCATGAAGGGTATGTTGAGGTGGTACGCAAGGCTTGGGAACGAGGGAATGGGGATGTGGCGAAATCCCTCGATTATGTTCGTCAGGATTCTATGGTTTTCAACAAAGAGGTTTTTGGCAACATTCATACTCGAAAGAAGGCATTGGAGAGCAGGCTACGTGGTATTGAAAGGACTCTTGAGCGAGTGGATTCTTTACGTCTACTCCATAATTACCATGCAACTCTTCGTGAGTATGAACTCACTTTGTTTCAGGAGGAAACCTTATGGTTTCAAAAGTCCAGGGAAGATTGGATCCGTTTTGGCAATAAAATACCAGGTTTTTTCATACACAAAAAGTGATACGGCGAAAGAAAGGGAAGATACATGGGCTTTTCTTGGATTCGGGGGTGTGGAGTATTGATGAAGAACAATTAGAAGGAGCGACAGTTAAGTATTTCAAGGATCTTTTTGGCACATCGTAGAATGTAGTCTCCACACCACTTATACCGCACCTGCTTCGTCTTCCTGCTAGTCTTATCTCTCAACTAGGGGAAGCTCCGACGATGGAAGAGGTCCATTCGGCTCTGCTGAGTATGCCCTCTTATAAGGCACCGGGCCCTGATGGCTTTCAAGCCTTTTTCTATAAAATGTATTGGGATCAGATTGGTAGTGAAATTTGGAAGTTGGTTCGTGATGCTTTTGTTACAGGTTCTTTCGACCCACAAATTTCAAATATTTTGGTCACACTTATTCCTAAGTGTGAGGATCCTAAAAGGCTCAAAGATTTTCGACCCATTAGCTTATGTAATGTAATTCATAAACTCATCTCTAAAGTTCTTGTTATTCGTTTGCGCCCTTGGTTGAATGAGCTAGTGAGCCCTTTGCAAACTAGTTTTATTTCAGGACGGAGCCCCGTGGATAATGCTATAGTTCTACAGGAGATAATTCATTCAATGAAGAAGTTGAGGAAAATGAAGGGCAATGTGGTGTATAAGCTTGATATTGAGAAGGCATATGACAAAGTGGAATGGAGTTTCATGGAACAAGTACTTAATGAATTTGGCTTTCCTCCGAATATTGTCCGGTTAGTGATGCATAGCCTTTCTTCCCCTTCTATATCTGTGTTGTGGAATGGGAAGAAGACGTCACCTTTCTTTCCTAAAAGAGGGCTTCGCCAAGGTGACTCCCTATCACCGTATCTCTTTATGTTATGTTTGGAAAAATTAGGGGCAATGATTACGGGTGCAGTCCAGGAAGGAAGGTGGGAGCCATTTAGATTGCCACATGGAGGGCCTTCTATTTCCCTCTTATTTTTTGCTGATGATATTTTACTATTTGTCCAGGCTAAGCCCTCCCAGGTGCGGTTTATGGTTGGTTTGTTAGAGCGTTTCTCCGCAGTTTCAGGTTTGCATTTTAATCCTGAAAAATCTAAAGGTCACGTATCAGTTGGTGTACCACCTCAAGTAAAGCATAGTAGATATTACTCATATTCGGTTAACGGGTAATCTAGGAAGGTATTTGGGCTTTCGCATCGTGCATGGTAGGGTGACGTCGGCTCATTTTGATTACATTATCAACAAGGTATCACAACGACTAACTTCTTGGAGGGGAAAACTGTTAAATCGAGCTGGTAGGGTAACATTGGTTAACTCCGTTGTGGCTGCTATTCCTTCTTATACAATGCAGTTTTAGTGGTTGCCGCAAACAATTTGTGATGCGCTTGATAGGGAGGCACGTCAGTTTATCTGGAGTGGGGATGGTACACGTAAGCTCCACCTTGCACGCTGGGATATAGTTACGAGAGCACGACGGCATGGTGGTCTAGGTGTCCGGATTGCTCGTTTACAAAACATAGCTCTTCTGGGAAAGTTATTATGGGATGTGGGTCATCGTGAGGACAAGATATGGGTGCAGTTCGTTCTAAATAAATACCCTGGTGCTACGTTACAACATCGCCTAGATGTGAAAGGTTCAAATTTTTGGAGTGCTTTAGCCAAGACCTATACTCAATTGCATGATGGTTTTCAACTACAACTTGGGTGCCGGACACGTACGGTTCTGGTATGATGTTTGGTTGGGCAACTCGGCGCTTTGTTTAGATGTCCCTTATGTGCATTTTCGAGATGTGAATCTTCAGGTATGTGAGGTATTACAACAGGGGAAGTGGAACTTGGACATTCTTCATACCCCTATCCCTGATACTTTACGTCAACGTATTGAAGGGCTTAGCATGACCCTTCATCATTCCTTACCGGATGTTTGGGTCTGGAACGGAGCACTGTCAGGGAGATATACGGCTTATGAGGGGTATAAGTGGCTATTGGCACGGGAGGATGGCATCCATGACTCGGTGTGGGGTTGGATTTGGCGGCTCAAGATACCAGAGAATCTAAAATTCTTTTTGTGGCAGCTAGCCCATGAGTGCATCCCTTCTGCTCAGTTTCTCGTCTCACGTCACATGGGTTTAGACACCTTGTGTCAATGTTGTCATCAAACAGTTGAGGATGCATTTCATATTTTCTTTGGTTGTGATGTAACTGTGTCGCTATGACAGTCTGTGTTCCCTCGTTTGGTTCTACCACAATGGGGTACAATCAATTGGTTCTTATGGTTGAAGGCTAACATTGACGAGTATGGGGTCATGCTTGTTAGCTTATTATGGGAACTTTGGCTAGAACGCAACCGTCGAGTTTTTTCGGGTATAATATCTCCCCCTCATGTTTTGGTTGGTCGTATTCAGCTATGTCATCTCTATTTAGAACGTTATGGGGACCACAGGAGAGGGTGGCTCGACAGGAGCGTCACGTTACATGCTTACAGGCTAGCCAAGGGCAAGTCACGGTGCATGTGGATGGCAGTGCGCTTGGTAGCCCGGGTCCAGCGGGTTATGGAGGTTTATGTCGGGACAACTTTGGTCGTTGGCTTATGGGTTTTTATGGGGATGCTGGAGTTGGGGACAATCTCAAAGCGGAGTTATTAGCTATCCTACATGGTATGAAGTTAGCGTGGAGAGCTAACTTTCGCAATATACTTTATGTTTCTGATTCGTTACTGGCAGTCAATTTGGTATTGGGACCATTGGATGTGTTGCATAAGTATGCTCCTATCATTGCTCACATTAAGGAGTTACTGCAACAATCTTGGAGTGTTTATGTTTGCCATTCTCTTCGAGAAGGAAACCAAAGTGCAGATTTTTTGTTGAAATTAGAGCCAAATTGTGGTATTGACCTAGTAGTTTTGGATACCATGCCTGAGGGTTTACACTCGTTTGTGACGGCGGATGCAGCTGGAACAGTGTTCCGTAAGATGTAATCTTCATTTTTTCTGTTTGTTGTCTTAGCTTTGCCTTAAAAAAAAAAAAAAGAATTATTTATATGTTAATTATAGGCAATTGTAAATATTTTTGGTTGCCGGTAGAAAATCACTTTAAATGCAGTGACTATCACCCGTCGTTACAGGTGGTAGAGACAAAATTCAGAGCGCATTTAAGTCGTGACATGTATTCTTTTATTAGTTTTATTCAGTTTCACGTTGTCGATTATAGTAAACTAATATCAAAATTCAAGTATCGTTAAATCGTGGCCACAATTAGAATTAGAATACATCTGATATATCTTATACCTTTAATAAAATATTTAAAAGAACACTAAATGTTCTCATCAACTTTTAATTTTAAAAAATTCTTATTTTTGAAATTAATTTAATTGCAAATTTAAAAAAAATAATTTATATTCAAAGGCTTATTTTGAAAATTTTAGCATAAAACTAATTTTTATTTCCAAATCAAGATGCATTCAAAAGTTTATAATTAAAACGCTCCAATTATAAAACTAATTTTTGTTAAACGTTTTGAAGAAGCGTTCTATATATAATTAAAAAATAATCACGTTTATAATTTGTAATATTCAATCATAAAACGCGTATTCAACACACTTAACAAAAGTCATATTTCACGACTCGTATTTATTAAGATATTAATTTCTGACCTACACTGCCGACATGACTTGAAAAAGTTTTTTTTTATTTTTTTTAAAGTGACTTGAAAAAGTTTGATAACGGTGAATTAATATTTGAAACTCTATCAAAAATATGTTTATATTACATTTATAAAAAAAAATAGTGTTTATATTTACAGTTACACTATTAGCCTTATTTCGAACAGAATTAGTATCTCTCAAAAGATATCAGCAGAAATAAAAAAATAATAATCTAACATAGACTTTTTTTAACAACTTGATGAAGTCGGTGAAAACTCGGTAAATTTGCTTTCCAAATGTCATGCATTGGACATCCAAATGATATGTATCATATCATACACCTGTCTCCATTCAACAAATAACACCCAAACAGCATTACAACCACGCTGGCCATTCTAATGATAATCAAAGACATAGACAAAGACAGAGAAAATTCTAGCATAAAAGATGAACTTATAATTAGTAGCACTAGCAGTACTAGAGTCTAGAACAAGAAGTATAACCACTTAATATCAGAAATTTTAATTTTCTTTTTTTGTAAAAATAATAATTAAATATAGCAATGAAAATTCAAAGACGCTAATAAATGGGCAAAACAAAAGGACAGGGAAGGTGTGTGAATTGAAGTAGTAAATGTAAAAGAAGGTGTCAGGCACGGTCTTTGACTTTGGCATGTACACTAAATAGTAATACCACTCTATCCGGTGTTGATACGTGGACACCTTGGATCGGATCAAGGGTGTGTGGTCACATCACCACTTTCTCGATATGCTCAAACTAATACAAGAAGTGTTAGTGTATTCCCTTCGCTTCCCACACGGTCGTTATTTCGTTGCCCCATTCTCTGCGTGTGCCAAGAGCGTGATCGTGGATCACTATATAAACAAAATGATACACTTGGAATAGCGTTTTCCTCTCTCTTCCTTGTTTGTTTCTCTCTCCACGATGGAGCAGTCTCTGCTGAGAGGCGAAAGCAGTGACCAGAGCTACCGGCACCGGGGAATATTCCGCCGCTCCGATGCTATCACCCACGGCTCCAACTACGAGAAAGCCGCTGCGCTCGTCGATCTGGTTCGTTCAACTCTTTCTCCTTTCTCCCAACCTGTTTCGCTGAACTCCTAGTGCCTCTTCGGTTCTGTTTTCTGCCTCTCGCAAACCGTTGATTATTATGCTTTAATTTAGCTGTTAACTGTTGTGCTTTGCAATTGAAAGCGAGTTTCGTATCAGGCATTTTGTTGGAACTTGGAATCAGTTATGAAATGTAGATAGGTAGATCTTCTCATTAATGGCTGGTCAATGTACTTTGCGCATCAAGTCTGTGTCCGAGTTTCTATCAAAGACTCGTTATCTAAGGAATCTTAAGAATCACCGGTTGAATCTGTTCTGGCGACAATGTCGTGTTATTTTTGAAGTTGAATCGCATCTTCTCTTTAGCTTGTATGGTTCCGCATTTAAAATCTCACTGACGCTCGTCAACTTGAAACTACAGTTTGTTTGTAGCTTCTGCATCTTTTAACTGTATTTGACTCAATCTTTGTGAAACTAAGTGTATCCGTCCGTGAAGCAAAACCAAACACACGGTTTGTCAGCGTCATTCAAATTTGGAAAGTGTTTAGTTATAGGGGAAGTGGAGGTAACGTCGTTATTAAGATTGATGTTTCGTAAAGTCACAGTTATGAAATTGCGAAGGATCTTTGTTTCGGCGGAGATAAATTGGAGTAGGAGATGACAAAATGGAGTGATGATGAAAAATTGCAAAACTAGATAAAGTTAGAAAAGGATAAAGTTTCTCCGGGTAATGATGTTTTTCTGGGGATGTAATTAAGTGAAGTATTTAACTGAGATATATTCTACTAGCTTCCCCCCTAAATTGATATATATATATATATATATATA